ATGAAGATATGGACAACCTTCCTTGAACCAATGCTTGGTGTTCCTACTCGGCCTCAAGGTGCAGAAGATACTGAAGATGTAGTGAAAGTGAAAAATCATACTGGGAAAAATGGTACTGTGAGTGCGGGAGACACTGATGGCAGTCCTGGTGGCGGTGCTACTGCAACGAATTCCAAACAGTTAAATTCATCAAGAAATGGAGATGAAAGCATTCAACCTGAACAGTCAAGCTCTTGCAGGACTTGGGCAGTAAATGGGGCTAATGGGGTTAAAGATGAAAGTTCCCTTGACATTGATCGTGCTGCGTGTAAAGGTGATACTTTCTGCAATACCTCTCAACAAGGTAAAGTGCAGAGTAATGCATCTACAGCCGATGAAACGTCTGGAGTTAGCAAACAAGACAATTCCAATGAAAGATTAGTCAGTTCTAATTTATCACCCCCTGGGTTGGAGCAAAGTAATGGAAGAACTAATCAAGAAAACTCATCAGGTTTGCAGAATGTTACCACTGAAAGTTTTTATCTGTACTAACCGGACATATTGCTTCTTTTGTTTTCTTACTATTATTTTCGAAACTAGATTTCTGAATACCCCTCCATTTTTTCTTTCTGAAAGGGCTTAGTCCTACTCCATCCAGACCAGGTAATGGCACTGTTGACGGTGGGCTTGAGTTACCTTCATCAGAGGTAAGGTTAACTGTGCAGTGATACATTTATGATGAAACTAATTTTAGTTAATAGTTTCATTACTCATGGTTGAAGGTTTACTAAGAGAATATTTAACTCTGCAATGTGTGAATGGTTTTAATTTTGGTTCTTATGTATATTGAACATTTTAGTTAAGATGGGAACAAAGAGAGTTTCATATAGTATATTTTTTGATTTTGTACACAGGATTTTGTACAGTATGTTGTGGCAGACTTTTCTACTGATTTGTGGAATACTGTGCATGGCATGTTGAGTCTTCTCATGAGTTTGTTTGGTAAAAGCTGAAAGATTTCTAACAACATACCTATCAAATGAGCTGAAATTAGAGTCTATATAAACTGTTGGCTTTGCTGGCAAATTCTGCAGCCTTCTTCTTTAGATTTTATTGAGAGCGTAAACTTGATATTTAAAGTTACCATCTTGAAGGTATAGTTTAGGATCTTGATGAATTGAAATTAGACGGTTAAATAAATCTGCGGTTTACTTGTATATCATAAAATAAAGTCTAATGCCAGCTTTTAAGAAGTCAATCCATTGATTGTATTCCTCACTACCCATGAATCTGGCGTTTGGATTGACTATAGCTGATGATAGGTCTTGGATATTGATCTATGTATTGTCATGGTAAATATCTGCTTAAGATTTTTATGTTCCTATTGACGTCACAGGGTGGTGATTCTACAAGACCTGTTATATCCTCAAATGGAGCAATCGGAGAAGGCACCAAAGGTCTCAGATATCTTGAAGAGTCTGCTAGACACTTCAAGATTGAAAGAGAGGAAGGTGAAATATCTCCAAACGGAGATTTTGAGGAGGATAATTTTGCAAATTACAGAGAAGCTGGTTTGGGGGCTGTCCAAAAACCAAAGGATGGTGTTGTTGGCAGGCAATATCAAGCCAGACATGCGGAAGAAGAAATATGCGGTGGAGAGACGGGGGGAGAAAATGATGCTGATGCTGACGATGAAGGTGAGGAAAGCGCTCAGAGGTCATCAGAGGATAGTGAAAATGCTTCCGAGAATGGTGATGTTTCTGGTAGTGAGTCTGGTGATGGAGAGGAATGTTCTCGTGAAGAGCGTGAGGAAGACGGGGACAATGATGAGCATGATACCAAGGCAGAGAGTGAAGGTGAAGCTGAAGGGATGGCTGATGCCCATGATGTTGAAGGAGACGGAATATCTTTACCGCTTTCAGAACGTTTTCTCCTGACCGTGAAGCCTCTTGCAAAGCATGTTCCTTCAGCTTTACATGACAAGGAGAAGGACTCTAGGGTTTTCTATGGCAATGATTCGTTCTATGTGCTTTTTAGGCTTCACCAAGTAAGGTTTCTTCTACCACACCACAGTGTGTATGTTTATTTCTTACATACTTAAGTAACTGCATTTCAGCCATTAGATCATATATGAACTTCCTAGATACATAGCGGATCAAAGTGGGTTAGTTGTATCTCAACCGTCCATATCTAATCTAATGGGTTTTATGCAAGTACTTAACTTTGACCAATAGATTGTCCTTTGTGTGTGTGTGTCTGTATTCTTCTGAATTTAGTGGATGTTGGTTTAGATATACTTGTATCCCAACCTTTTCACTAATTTGACAGACATTATATGAGAGAATACAATCGGCAAAGACTAATTCATCATCTGCTGAGAGGAAGTGGCGGGCTTCAAATGATATGAGCCCTTCGGATTCTTATGCTAGGTACCTTTGCTTTGGTCTCCTTGTTTTATTCGCAACTTTGAAGTGAATGTACTTCCTAACTCCTTATTATATGGTACAGATTCATGAATGCACTTTACAATTTGCTTGACGGTTCTTCTGACAATACAAAATTTGAGGATGATTGTCGAGCCATCATTGGGACACAATCATATGTTCTATTCACATTAGACAAGCTGATCTACAAGCTTGTTAAACAGGTTCGTTGCCCTTTAATTTTCTTTCCTTTTTTTCCCTTTCTTCAAGTTTCTTTCCCTTCTCCTTTGTTGACCACAAATATTCCGCTTCATGTACTTTTTTCAGCTTCAAACAGTTGCCAGTGATGAGATGGACAATAAACTTGTCCAACTTTATGCATTTGAAAAATCAAGAAAGCCAGGAAGATTTGTAGATGTGGTTTATCACGAAAATGCTCGTGTTCTTCTTCATGATGAGAACATTTATCGCATTGAATGTGTAGGCCCTTTATGTGGTATTATAAGTTGTAGTACTTTATAGGATTATAGAATTTCAGCTCTGTAAATTTATTATCATGATTTGTTTTTTTACAGTCATCCTTACCAACCCGGGTATCTATTCAGCTTATGGATTTTGGGCATGATAAGCCTGAAATGACTGCTGTTTCCATGGACCCTAATTTTTCTGCTTATCTGCACAATGAATTCCTCTCAGTTCTTCCTGACAAAAAAGAGAAGTCGGGGATCTTCTTGAAGAGGTATGTTGTCTATAATTAAGAGCGAAGTTTAGGAAGCTGAGTGTCATGACTAATAATGCTTTGGTGATGTTTGCAGGAACAAATGTGCGTATGGTAGTAGTGATGAATTGTCTGCTATCTGTGAGGCCATGGAAGGACTTAAAGTCACCAATGGTTTGGAGTGTAAGATAGCTTGCCATTCATCCAAGGTACTTCATTTAGTACTCTGCTATAATAGCTAGTTATATTTAGGTGCATTATGATGATATGTTTTGCATTAAATTGTGGCATTATGGGTATTGTCTTTCTATTATTCGGTTTGTTTATCTGGTTTTCTGCTTCTGTTAATCAATTAGAGTTTTGTATGTGGTAGGTCTCATACGTTTTAGATACAGAAGACTTTCTGTTTCGGACAAAAAGGAAAAGGAAAACTTTGCATCGGGACAGTTCATGCCAAAAGCTGGCCAGGTCTTCCAATGGTTCAAGTAGAGTAGAGCGGTTTCACCGGTTGCTTTCTGGCTCATGATATGCCCTATTTTGACCATCAAGTAAATATGGTATGTACTTATCTGGTTTTTGCTTTTTGCTTGCATGTTTTTAATGCCAATTTTCTTCCACTCACATGCTTGCAGTAGATGCATGTAAGATGTTGATATTTAACGGAAAAATGAATGTCTCGAGCTTCTTAATCTCGGAACTTGACATTTCATCCATGCAATTGGAAAAAGAATATTTCTTTGCTTTTTGTTTAAATGCCAAAACTTAATTTCTTCACATGTTGAGATGAAAGGAGAAGCCTTACTATTTTGTAATATATTTGTCTTTCGGTTCTGCAGTAGCATTTTGCACACATTACATACCCTGGCGCTGGAAATTCGAAAAATTTGAGGCGCTGTGAGCGAAAAAAGCTTTTGTGGGATTACCTTGTATTCTCGTAGTTCTGTCTCTCCGATCAAATAAAGCATTGAGGAGGATACGGCTCGAAAGTTGTATACTTTGAGTTGGCACTTTGAGCCGCATTCATGTAAATATAGGTAATTTGTGTTGTAAACTTGAGATACATTTTCAATTTATTCATCGATAATTTTTGTTAATCTTTTATAATTTATTTTATTTCTGGCGTATTAATTTTATAGTGGACACTTCTCTTATATGTTTCGGTCATTAAAATAGCCTGGCTGATTTTACTTGCTGTCCGTGTGAACGTCAATTGTTAAATATTGACCATTACCTTTATTTCGCACCATGCTAATTGTTGGTCCGTAGGTATGTCAATGTCGATGAGAAATGAGGCCTCAAAAAAGAAGAAAAATTCTTGAAATATGCCTGAGAGGTTTGTGTATAGATCTTGCATAATCGTACTTTTTGTCGAGTTGTACATCCTGTTATTTTTGTCTAGTATTTGCAATGCGTGGATTGAGATTGTTAATTATGTCAAACTTGTATGGCTCTAAACTATTTTATAAATTCTGAAATTAGTCCTACTGAATGCTTGCCAGAGAGCGGTTTCCATTCTAAGGTCCCTTGCAGTGTTTGTTTCTTTTAAGCCCTCCGTCGAGGAAATCCATAATAATGCAGTAAATCTGGATGACAATGAACAGCTGTGATGGAACCAACGACAAGCTTAAAGCTTGAAACAATTGTGTTTTAAAATTGAAAAAACATATAAAAATAAAAACATCGTGATTAGGTTGACTTTGCTACACAGCCATATCGACCCATGAATCCAAAAAAGAAGAAGAAAAAACTACTCACTTGGGGATCCTTCAAGGTAGACTAATCATTTGTACAATTACTTTCTTACCACATATTTTTCCTTGAACAATAGCAATGAAATTCTTAAAAAATCTAACCTAAAAACCTTTTTATTTATTTATTTATTATATATAAGATGCTCTCCACATGGTGAGCAGTAGCAACTGATTTGATTGTACAAGATAATTTTACTGATACAATTACAGCTGATAAAAGATCATGCTCCCAAGACTAGATTCTGGGTGACTTTACCTATTGTTTGTTTTAGATATCGACTTTGAACTTGTTTTCTTCAGATGAAAAAAGAATGAAAGAGCTTGATCGGCTCTGAGACGGCCAATAGGCACAGTACATGATGTTATGAAATTGTTGGTCTACAAATTTCAATTTGTTAGAATATAATGTCATTCATCCAGCCAGCTCACTTATGGGAGGACGGTCCATAATATTTGACGCCGTCTTTGCATTGCTTTGCAGTAGCGGGTCAATGTCCGGCAACTTAGGAATTTGCACTAGCAGATCGATTGTTCGTCGTAGGAGCCGCGCTAAGTCACCCTCATCCATCGCGCAGTCCATCATGATTTCCCTCCAGGTCAACCCAGAAACCCAGGCTTCAACCATACCTGAAAACTGGGTGTCCAAATAGCAAGGCTTGTTCACACCATGCTTCTCTTGAAGCTGTAAAAAAGAGCTTCTCTGCTCATCCAAGAAGTTGACCACGTCAACTACTGTACTAGAAGGTTCATATATGTAGCTGTTGTTTTTCCAAGGACGAACTTTGATCCCTTCAGATACTAAACTTGCACAGACAGCAGCAAGTTCCGGAGGCTTCAAATCTATTAAGATTTTATTTCGAAGAACCATGGCAAGCCAGAGTTCATTTTCTCCTCGAATAGCAGCTGCGGTTACACCAAGTGGAAACATGACATGAGTATTAATATCCAATGCCCGAGTCTCGTGTATGACGTTGCTGATCTGCAAGAATTCCTTCCAACCAGAGGGTTCAATTTGTTCAATTCGATTAGTCAAACGTCTTGATCTACCCTTCAAGCGTTTAATCTTTTCCTCTGTAAACTTGGCCATGTCAACGATTTTCTTGTATTCTCTGAAGCCTTGTGTACGTGATATCTTTTTCTTCAGACGTGAAACTTTATTTCTTTGATCTTTGTAACGCTCAACAGCATTATGGTATGCTTCTGACTTATGCAAAAGCTCATCATGCTCAGAGAGACTATTCAAGACAGGAACATTCAAACTCCAAGACCATGTCTCGAGAGATCCTTCCATGTTCCAAAAACCACCAAGTTCAGACTCACCAAGCTTCTCCCACTTCAGTTCCGTCTTATCCAGAAGCATACTCATAATTTCCCGAGGCAAAGCATCTCCTAGAGCTAAAGCAACATTTGGGAAGCCCGTCTTATAAACTGTTTTAATCCACTTTTCTGTAAATAGATACCAAGAATTATCTGAACCAAGAGCCACATAATATGATGGTTCAAAAACTAAATTTGATTCAAACTCTGAGGTTACTGCGTTTAGTGCAAAAGCATCATCAGCAGAAACCATGTGCTTAAGCTTTGAACTACTGAATGAGTCAACCTTCCCCAGATAAACAGCCGGGATAGAGTGTTGAACTCCTTCAGAATCCTTGTACTGCAGGCACAAAAAGGGCAAGTGTCCATTTTCAAACTCCTCTAACATGGGTCTCAGTGAAGATAGTTTCTGAGATTCCATTCTTCTTCTAAGTTCAGTTCTTAGGCGTTTCTCTGCTCTTAATTCTTCCTGTAGATCTGCAATCTCCTTATATGCTGGTCCAGATAGAAGCTTCCTGCTCTTTCTATCGATGGCATCATCGCTAATTTCCAAAGTCAGTATCTCAATTTCTTTCTGAATTCTAGTAAGCTCTTCTTTTGCAGCAAGCATAACATTGCTGCCAACATAGTTTCCAAAACTTTGCTCGACTAACTTTCTAGCTTCTTCCAAAGTTCGCCCTGATTGGGAAGCTTCCGTGTCATCTGATTCATTTGATCTATGGGTAACTTTTGCACCAGCAAGAAGATTTAGCACCATTCCATATGAAGCTGTAAACTGGGACACCAAAGGTTCAAGTCCAGCAAAAACAATCTTGCAACAGGCTTCAGCACCTTCATAAGGACTTTGAACAAGCACTACATGACCCCTTTCATCAATCCCTCTACGCCCAGCACGCCCAGCCATTTGAAACAGCTCATTTGGGCTTAATTGGGTACGTCCACCGTCGCTTCTTTTGCTGAGGGATGCAATAATGGCTGTCCTAGCAGGCATGTTGATTCCTGCAGCAAGTGTTTCTGTAGCAAAGACAACCTTAACCAGTCCTCGCTGAAACAGCTCTTCTATGAATGATTTCCATAAAGGTAGACAGCCAGCATGATGTGCAGCAACCCCTTGCAGTAAACCCTTCACAGCAGTCTCCCTGATAGCATCAGGATACTTAATGCGGAACCTCTTCAAGGCTAGTTGAACCTCACTCATCTCACAGTCATCCAAGAGATTGTTATCTTGAACATACTGAACAGCGGCATCACATCCTTTCCTGCTAAAAATAAACCATATAGCTGGCAGCATATCTCGAGACTTAAGGTGCCATAATGTATCCGTAATTTGAGGTACCTAAAGAGCAAAAAGAAATGAAAAAATAATAATTCAAATAGTCAAATTTATAGGCCAATCGTTTATGGAACAACCACAGGTCAGGTACATAACAACCCTAATCAATCAGTGTGTCCCTAGCAAAACCAAAACAAAAATGAAAACAAGGCTTGCTTTTGTATTTGTCTAAAAAAATTAATGCATGAATCATACTTGTGAACGGTGTATTAAGTTGATGTCATTCTTTGAAAGTGGTCGTCTAGACATGTTACCAGTACTGTCATCATAGCTCATCTCACTTGCACGTCTTCTTGAACTCCTCCTTCTAGACCCATCATCTTTGTAAGATTTTGTTCCTGAAGCATTAAGTTGAAGATAATTGACTGACAACCTCCTGTTCCATTCAAAGAAAACGTAAACTTTAAATATTACTGGATGGTCCTATACTGACAATCTTCATGGTAATTGCAAGATAAACCTTAAATTTCCATAATGTTTGGCAGATTAACTCTGATGAAGCTTAACCATGTAAATCAGATAAAGCTGAACTAGTCCAATCTTTTCTCGAAAAAGGTCAAATGGAAAGGCATTGCTACTCCATATTACAGAAGAGAATCTCCGAGAAATTTTGATTGGGTAAAAACTAAGAGTTAAGTATACAATAAAAATAACAAAAACTAATCATAATGAGAAGCAAAGTACCTATTCATGTGCTTTCCTGTCTTATCAAGAAGTGGTAACAAAGAAGTCTTCGTTGAGAAATGCCAAGTCAATGGTACTGGACGCCTTGATGAAGTTACCAATTCAGTTTTACCATGAATCTGGAAACAGGATGAAAGGAGCAAAATACCGTGTGTCAAAATGTGATATATTTTCAGTGAATGTAAAGCATTAAATCATCAAAGGAGCAAAATACCTGACCAATCCAACCAGCCAATTCATCTGGATTTGCAACTGTTGCTGACAAACATATGAGTTGAACTTTTTTGGGGCAATAAATAACCTGATATATTTCATAGATTATATAACGAAACATTATGACAACATCATTGGCATTGAAGCAGTTTCCTGGAAACAAATTGCACTTACGATTTCTTCCCACACAGTACCCCGGTACATGTCACTTAGATAATGAACTTCATCCAGGACAATAACATCCACATGAAAAAGTCCATCCCCAGAAGAAGCCATTCCCACGCTGCATTAAGAAGCTAAAGTGAAATACCATCCCTTATTCCAAGAATAAACTCAGAAGTTGAACTGCAAAACTAAGTACATAAATCAATAAACTACAGCTACTAGGACTGATTAAATAAGTTGTTTATACCTCTGATACAACATGTTGCGCAAGATCTCTGTGGTCATAATTAAAACCTGAGCATCTTTGTTCACTGCCGAATCTCCAGTAAGAAGGCCGACATTGTCGTCGCCAAAAGTCTCACTGAAATTAAAACAATGCATCAGCTAATTCAATTCAACATATTACAAGTACATCACCTACATTGCTAATTACAAGGACCAATTACTTCAGAACTTTACATAAACTTCACCAAGAAATGTATATATTCTTTTCTCGTCAGAGTAATATCATTCGCATACCGAAATTCTCGAAACTTCTGATTGGACAAGGCCTTCAGCGGGGTTGTGTAAAACAATCTCCTTCCTCTGGCTACGGTTGCAACGGAAGCAGCTTCTGCTATCAGAGTCTTTCCACTGCTCGTGGGTGCCGATACCACCACGGACGAACCTCTCAAGAATGCTTGTATCGCTAATCTCTATCCAAAATTAATCAAAGAAAAATGTAAATCAGAATTCATACGATTCATAAAATCTTCAATGGTGTATTCGAAATTGAAACTCACCTGAAATTTATCGATTCGGAAATCGTAGATAGAAGCGAGCTCTTCGTCATCTATCATTTCCTCGCCAAACACTTTGACTTCGCTGCACAGCTTCTCCACTCTCTGCCACTTGAACTCCTCGGGCCGAGTCGACGGCTCTGCGGCCGCCACTGAAGTAACGATTTCATCGTCGCTCTGTTCGAGTCCGTCCGACATAATATCGCCGGGAACGTCGTCGTACTCATCCGCAGCCACGTCTTCGTCGTCGTCCTCCTCTTCGTACTCGTCTTCGTCTTCGTCTTCTTCTTCGTCGGCATCGGAGAGTTGAGATTTTGCAGGGAAGGCTGAGCTTGGGGATTGGAAAGTGACTCGAAAACGCAGTGAGCTTGGAGAATATGTAGGAGGGGATTTGGGGGAACAAAACCCTAGGGCATGGGTGGTTTGGGTGAGATGGTGAAGCAGGGGATAAGAAGAGCGTTTGAGAGAAAGGAGGCGCGTGAAGGTGTGAGGAGGTGTGAGGATAGAGAGAGTGTCCATGGCGGGAGAGATTTTTGGGCACCCCAGCAGCTCCAGCTCAGTTGTGGGCTTATCGTTTTTTATTGTGATATTTTGAGAGTGGGCAGGACAGTGACGATGCGACGTCGCTTCCCTTGCGTAACTGTTTTCGATTAAAGTACCGTTGATTTGAATTGAACCATTTGTTCGTTACTGTTGATTTGGACCGGGAAGTTCAAAATAGGTGCCGTTGACGTGTAGATTTCTCAACTACTTAAGCTGGGCAGCAGTAGTACACAAGTTGGGTCCAATAATCGATGACCAGGGCCTCTATTGGGCTCTCATTTATATTTGTAAGAAATATAAGGATGAAAGAAATTTTTGAGTTTTGGGTTTCAACTATTGTTATATCTGGTTTTTCATTTTAATTTTTTTAACTAAATATTCGTGCTATCTATTTTGGTCATTCAATTCTCTCATTCGTGCAATTCAATTATTCCGTCAAATTTAATCACGTGAGGTGCTTTTCAAAGGTAAATTCAACTTTTGAGTTCATTTTAAGCAATTAGAGGCAAAATTAAATTTTATTGTTGTGTTAGGGTGGGATTTTAGTGAGGTAGGGTTTCAATTTGAAGGAAATAGGATAGTTAGGTCAATTTGGGAGAAATTGGTAGTAGAGAGATGGTTAGGCCGTTTTAGAAGATGCTTGGGCCCAAATTTACATAATGAGACGAAAAAATTGAATTGACATGAATGAGGATAATCAAAATTGTACGAAAATTAGTTGAATGATCAAAATAAAACTCGGGCATAAATTCATAGAACTTTTACCTTTTTTTTTTGGGAGTTTCACTAAAACACCCAAAATGGGGGTTGAAATTATAAAAAAACCCAAGCACTATTTAAACATATAAACACACCCAAAACCCATTTATAAACATACTAAAAAAGTTGACTTTAGGGTTGATTTTGGGTGTGTTTCTATGTTTAAATAGTGCTTGGGTTTTTTTATAAATACATGTCTAGGATTGGGTTTATTTATAAATTTGTATTTTTTTTTTCTATGTAATTTTATTTGTTTACTTTCGAGCTTATTGTGCATCATATGTATATTAAATCAAAAATACATTTTTTAGCTAAGAAGGCCATCATGATTCATTTGTATATTAAAAAACTTCGTGTAAGATATTGGCGAAAAGAACAAAATAAAGGGAACCCACCCAGCCACCAAATTTGTAGGCATATATAATATGTGCACCCACCAAACCACATGCAGCACATCTTTGCTTACTTCCACCAAACCCCAAAATGGCATTTCTAGCATATAATATGTACGGAAATTTAGAGTCAAACATATGCACAAATTTATTTTTGTGCTAAGTGAAATTAAGAAGAAGAAAAAAACATGAAAATATTGAAAAAAAACAAAAAAAATTAGAGAGAGCAAGACACCTGCACAAGTAGGAAGGGAACACAAATTTTGGGGGGGGAAAAAAAGGGAAAGGAAATACAAATTATTATTAAGTCAAAGAAATCACTCCGCCACAAAATAACGACAGTACCCAACTAAGACAATTTTTTAATTATTTTAACAATTAAAACATTTTCGATTCCTCTCCTACTTCTTTCCTACCAAACCGCCCCAGCCCAGTGTTCCACAAACCCTCCTTCCACCAGTCTCAGCTCCCATCCCACACAGCCGGAAAACGATCCAACGGTCAGAGATGGCTCTATCCCGCCTCGCCTCCTCTTCATCTTCCGGCTCCAATCTCCTCAAACCCCTCACCTCCGCCCTATCCTTCACCCCATCTCTCCGCCGTCCGATCTCATCCGCCGCTGATGACTCCACCACCCTCACGATCGAGACATCGGTCCCCTTCACCTCCCACAGGTGCGACGTGCCGTCCCGCACCGTCGATACCACGCCCAAAGAGCTTATGACGTTCTTCCGCGACATGGCGTTGATGCGCCGGATGGAGATCGCGGCCGACTCGCTCTACAAGGCCAAGCTCATCCGAGGGTTTTGCCATCTGTACGACGGCCAGGAGGCCGTCGCCATCGGCATGGAGGCCGCAATTACCAAAAAGGACTGCATCATAACCGCCTACCGTGACCATTGCACCTTCCTCGGCCGCGGCGGGACCCTTCTGCAGGTTTTCTCCGAGCTCATGGGCCGCCAGGGTGGCTGCTCCAAGGGGAAAGGTGGGTCCATGCATTTTTACAAGAAGGACGCTGGGTTCTATGGCGGTCACGGTATTGTTGGGGCTCAGGTTCCGCTGGGATGTGGCTTGGCTTTTGGGCAGAAGTACTCCAAGGATGAAACGGTGACGTTTGCTCTGTATGGTGACGGTGCGGCCAATCAGGGGCAGTTGTTCGAGGCGCTTAATATTTCTGCGCTTTGGGATCTGCCTGCCATTTTGGTCTGCGAGAATAATCACTGTAAGTAGTGGAAGAATTGTTTCTTCTTGGTTTTTTTAATGATAAGAAACAAAATTAATTACACATTTTGAATAATTTGGGCGTGCGTTTGACACAGATGGAATGGGTACGGCAGAGTGGAGAGCAGCTAAGAGTCCATCATACTACAAGCGTGGAGATTATGTTCCTGGCTTGAAGGTCGGATACAATCTTGTTTGTTGCATTTCATTGGTTACTGCTTATGTATTTGCTTTGAAGTTTAGCTACATTAAGAAATGATGGTTGTGTGATTGGTAAAAACATGGTAGCTGTATCCACTGAATTGATTCTATCGCTCGAATTATAATGGTAGAAACATTATAGGTGATAATTTCTAGTATTAATTTGTTTTCATTTGGCTAATGGTTTGTGATCAATCTTCAGGTAGATGGCATGGATGTGTTTGCAGTAAAGCAGGCATGCAAATTTGCTAAGGAGCATGCTTTGAAGAATGGACCCATTGTGAGTTATTTCTCCATTTGTTAGTCTGACATTTTTTTGAAATTCCTTGTGCAAACTATAGCAACATGGATTTCCTTACTGTTATGTTAGGCCACTCAACAAATCTTCTGTCGTTTTGGCTCACAGTTCCACATATAAAAGAAAAACATGATTGTTGCTAGGTAGGCCAAATGAATTTTTTGCAGGCGATCCACTAATTGCATTGTGATTGCAATTGTATGCAGTTTATGCCATAGCTGCTAGAGTATGCTAATAGTATAGTAGATTGAAGCTACAATGTGCTATCAAGTGTGTGGTCTATGAGGAATTAATCATGTCCCTAGGGAAATTGTCTCAGCTCTATTCCAGGGGCAGTTCTGACAGTAATTGTTTGAGCTATTCTCTTAGTTCTAGGAATTGCAACTCTAATGGCACCCCTTCAGGAATTTGATACGTGATCATTTAGAATTCTAGTATAAACTTGGGTATACGGTTATATGGACCCTAGTAGTTTGTTGGGTAAGCAATGCAGTTGCTATTTCAAGAGTTGCCTTTGCAGCATTTGTATGCCATCTGTGAAAGGACAGAGAAATAGAATGCTTTGCAAATGACAAAAGTTGTGAAATTTTTGGTCCAAGTTTTAGACTAAATGGGAAAAATTCCTCCCTTTTTTCAATTCAACATCATTTCGGTAGTTAAGAGATGCACGATGTGGTTCATTGATGAATACCTTCGTTCAGACCCAGGCTGTGGGTTAGATAAAGTTTTTAGCCCTTTAGGATTACTTGGGCCTTTTGAAATGGTCTGGTTATGTGTAATATGCGAAGTCATGCGAGATTTTTCCAACTTTTCTGGCTCTGACTTGCAGACTAGTTATAATTGTGTAATTTGTTGTCGCTCTACATGATACTTGTTGCCTGACAAGTCCTCTTGCTTCTGGTGGTCAGATTCTTGAAATGGACACTTACAGGTACCATGGGCACTCCATGTCTGATCCTGGGAGCACCTACCGTACACGTGATGAGATTTCTGGCGTGAGACAGGTTTGTTATGTGTTCCAAACCTTGTTCCCTTTCCATATTTTGGAGATTATGCCACAATTTCATAAAGGTGTCTTTTTATAATTTTACTTGGTTATATGATTTAGGAGCGTGATCCAATTGAAAGAATAAGGAAGCTGATATTTGCTCATGATCTAGCTACTGAGAAGGAGCTAAAGGTATATTCTTCAACTAGGGTGGTTTCTGTATTGTATCTATCTACTGTCATTTCTATTTTGTTGGATAATTATTTTTATAACTGAGGGAAAATTTTAGAATATGGTCCATTCCTGTCTCTCTTATTGATGCTGTGGGGGGGTCTGAGAAAACTGATATGTATTTATCCTTTTCCTTTCTTTTCTTTCAGGATATTGAGAAGGAAGTGAGGAAAGAAGTTGATGAAGCCATTGCTAAAGCTAAAGTAAGAAGCTTTCTGTGGTGGTCATTTGATTTCATAAACTTTCTTTTTATTTTTGTTAATTTTAACTGAATGCATGTAGCCATCTGACCTCTCTTTAGCTTTTATAATAGGTATTGTAACCGGATATTGTTCACTGTTTTTTATGTTTGTTTTTCCTGTTTCCAGGAAAGCCCAATGCCAGAACCCTCCGAACTCTTTACAAATATCTTTGTGAAAGGCTATGGGGCTGAGGTAATATTTGTTCCCTTGTATACAGCAACACAGACATGCACACAATATTCATTAACTATGTTGTATCACCATGGCCGGTAAACAGAAGCTTCTGTCTTCTTTAGTTACTGCCAGTTGACACTACTGCTTTGGATGGGTATCTGATGCTAACCAATACGAGTGTGATGATGTGTTATTGATATTTATAAGTCATAGAACTTCTTCAATAATAACTTTCTTAAAAGTTTGGTATTAGTTTTCCCTGGGTATAAAAGAATTTTGATCATCTATGTTATTGAACCAGTCTGAAAGTCGAGTTATTGTCCAACATCTATCTGGTGAAAGCGAGATCATGATCATTGGAGCATTATAGATTACATTCCTGCAAATTATAGAAATTGGAATCGTAACATAAGAAACTTAAAAAAGCTTTCGCAACTTATTCTCCTTTTTTTAAGTAGTAAAAAACTTGAGAAAAGTTTTCATACAGAAGTTATGCATTGAAATTATAACCATATCTTAGACGT